TGGCTGGCCTTGTCCTCACGAGAGGTGCCATCACGACCGGGTTGGGATTTTGGGTCGTGACAACCTTTGAGCTCGAGCTTGGTCTATATCGAGTTTTTGCCCCCGATGCGAATTCTCGAGCCTACAAAATCGGAGGCATATGATTTTGACCGTATACAGATAGTGCCTCGATCATGATGTCAATCTCGTGACGTCAGCGACTAAAGTGACTGAAAGGTCGCGTTTGCACGGTTTCCCAAGGCCATTAATTGGAGGCAGTTGATGGTCAGCTATTTGGCTTTCCCAAAACTCTTAAGTGATCTCTATAAATAGGCCAACTTCATAATTATTGCAGACTTTACTTCTCAAATCACTCTTAAAATTTCTTTGGCTCCTTCAACTTCTTTGAGTTCACCTTTCTCTTAATTTGTTCTTACTTCAGCATCAACTTTTTCTCTTCTCTTGAATTTCCAAACCATAATGGCTAAAACATCTAAAATTATTCCCTAAAAGGAAAAATTCTCTTCATCATCGCAGCCGACCAGAAGTAGAACGGTGGTGCCACCTTGTATCGAAAAGTGTATTCCCCTGCCGTGCGAACTAACATCCGATTTCAAAATCGATAAACCTGTATCGACACCAGGCTGATGTGAGCCCATGTCCCGATACATCTGCTTGATAACCGAAAGTGAGCTTGAGCAGGTGAAAAAGGACTGCAACTGGGAGAACAAGGATGTGGTGATCCCTTCCCCTAACGAGGACATCACTACTCATAAAGCAGGGTACTTAAGTGTGTATACCTACCCATTCATGTTAGGTCATGCAGATCCAGCTCTGGGTCCCATAGACCCACTGATTCTTGATTTCTGCCAACAATTCTACCCTTCATTCTGGCGCATCGTCAACCTAATTAAATACTTCTCGAGCTTGGTCAAGGGGATGCCTTTTACCCTCGACCACCTGATCAGACTATACAACCCTCGCCTTTATCGAGGTTGTCTGATAAAGCTACAATACTGATCTACGAAAACTCTCTTCTCCAGCATCGATGAGGACAAAGATCGAGGGTGGATGAGCCGGTTTGTCCGAATCAGGACCTCCAACCTGATTCATGCTAAGAGGATGCCATTCCCCGAGGAATGGAACATGAAACGTAAGTACAGATTCATCGATAGTGACTTCATATTCTACTTTCCCCACTCTTTCTTGATCTAATCCCTTTCTGATGATGTAGCTGTTGCTTGGTTTCCTGGTGCGGTCCCAGACCTCGAAGGTTGGGTTCAGCAACTGGCCTTTACTTCCTCATACACAGAGTGCAACTGGCGTGACCTGGCCAAAGTTCGATAGGAAGCTAAAAATCATGGTGAGTTCTCTTGTTTGCATACTTATGTTTCTTAGCGAAATACTTACTTTATCTTTATGCAAGCCTCGGAGACATCGTTGCTATGCGGCCGCCTCGCCCGGTGAAGAAGAGATCCCCAAACCCTTCCAAGGAAAAGAAAAGAAAGAGGGGGCCACCTGTAAATTCCCTGAAGCCAAAGAAAAGCAAGGCTCGAAAGCCTAAGGTCGATACTCCGGTCCTGTCTTCAGAAATGGTCCAACGCCTTCGAGATGAGGATAAAGAGGGGGAATATGACAACTGCTTGTCGGTAGTTTGGAAAAGAGGAAGCACTGACGCTTAGAAGACTATTGAATCGATATGGCTGATGCGGTTCATTCTCGAACTGAAGAAATCTCGGAGGGGAGCTCGAGCAAAGTCCCCGAGCCATCAGGTGGAAAAAGTGTGCCTCATCCCTGGAGACACTTGGTGGGTGAGCTCGAAGAGCCTAATTTCGAGGCCCTTCAAAGACAGGATAACATCCCAAGTGAATCACTTGGGCTAATCAATGTAGATGATTCGCCGCAGGGCTCTGAGGGGCAATTCCGAGATGCCTAGGCCATGAGGACTCCTAATATGGGAACGACCCATGAAGGAAGTGATATTTTCGGGAGTGCCTTGCGGGGATTGAAGATGTCCCCGATCCTGATGCCTTGTTTATTTTTGATGAGGCCGAAAAACTTCTCAAACAAGTAAGTTTTGTCTTCATAACTACGCTTCGAATTTAATTTTCACCTTTCTAAGCCTAACTCTTTTTCTTTGTGAGAAGGTCGTGTCGCTTCACCGATAAGCATTTGCCAAATCTCGGGCCGAGCTTTCCCGGTGCAAAACCAAACTCAAGAAGCTCGTGGAAAAGAGGGACAACCTTAAGATCCTCTACGTCAAAAAAGAGGGAGAGATCAATGATCTCCGAGTCGAGTTGGCGAAGGCTCGTTAAGAACAAACCGAGCTTATTGAAAAGGTAATATAGCCTTTGAGGGTCCGTTATGCATTTACTTGATTTGGAGACTAACATTTCAACTTCGCATGCTTAGAAGAAGGGCGAGCTGATGGAGCAGCTTCGAGAGGAGCTCAAGATGAAAGAGGTTGAAGCCCTAGGGTGGAAACAACACATGTTCTCACCTCAGAGAAAGATACACTTCAGGAGCAGCTGACTTCAATCGAACACTAGCTTCAAAACGCAAAGGAAAAAAGCTTGGCCTGGAGCCATAGAATCGAGGAGCTCGAAGCTAAATCTACTGCTGAGCTTGCAAAGGCCAAATCTGATGTAGAGGCATTTGTGTCTTTGTACCGAGCTGACGCTGAAGTCGCTAACACTTGGGAATAGGAGATCTTCGTTGCGGCCGAAGTTAAGTTATCATGTGCTCTCGACCATGCCAGGCGACAATCCCGAAAAGAAATCCTCGAGGAGGTGCAGCACGTGGCTTCAACCTCTCAGCCGACATTGAAAAAGCAAAGACTTTGGAGGAAGAGGTTGCCGTTTTGCTCTCTGATGACGAGGATTCTGCTAGTGGCTCCGAGAGCGGAGGAGATGGAGATGAAGTCCCCGAGGAGGAGGTTCCCGAAGATGCAGCTCCCGAGGATGTGGCTTCCAGAGATGTAGTTCTCGGAGATATGGTCCCGAAGTAGATTAGGTTCCTTTATTTTGTTTTTGTGTTTTTGTGCAAGGGTCCCTCGTGGGTTTTGTAAATATCTTTTGTAAACATCTCTTATAAATATAAAGAATCTTTTTGCTTCATTTTCGATTTGTATTGAATTCCATTTCGTCTTCATTTGTGAAGAATTTTGATGCTATAATTCTAATGATTAGTCTGAATAGTGGCTTGGACTCAGAATATAATAAACCCTTAGCTTTTTTATTGATCAATGGGCAATCTTTATAATAGAATACCTCTTAATGTTTTTTTTAATCCTTGAGCTAAGCTTAAGTTGATTTGACACGAGCTCGGGATGATGGGACTCTTGAGTCCGAGTTGAGTGAGAGCAAGGTCTCGAACCCTATATGTTTTGGCCCTTAGGCTCTTTTATATCGGTCCTTAGGCGCTTTTAGGTTGGGCCAATTTGACCTCTAAAGCGGCTATATTTTTTTCCTCTTTTTGGCTAAAAGACTTAGTGAAAATTTTTCTATGCCTTAGCATGTGGTTTTTTTACCCGTTGGTTTTTTCGAAGGTTTAACAGATCGGAACCTTAATTGTAATTTGTTTGTGTAAACATAATTGAATATCTCTTGAGGTTTTTCGAAGGCTGATGTTATCGAAGCCTTTAAATTATTCGAGGGCTAATTTTATCGAAGCCCTTCATCATTTGCTTTTGCCGAGGGTAGCCTGATTTAACCATTTTTTTTCAAAGTATTTGAAGGCCTTTAATTTATGGTGGAAGTCGGACATCTCTGAGCCGTATTATTTCGGTCGTAGCCTTTTTATATGACCGTAGTCTTTAATATGGTTGTAGCTTTTGGGTATGTTTCTTGGACTTGTTTCCCTATAACCTCTCGAACTTGTTCGAAAGGTTAGTCCCCCAGTATGGTGGCCTTGGACTTTATATCTAGGGGATGCCTCTTTGAAGTCTTATGAATTCGAGTTTTCGATGACTAGGATATGTAGACTATCAATGATAGTCCCCGAGTATTCGGGGTGTATTTGTGTTCTGGCTTTTGGGTCATTTCTCATGGAATTATAAGTGTAGAACTCGTATAATAGTAGACTTCTTTGAGACAAAAAGTGTTTTGATATAGAAAAAATACTTCTTTGAATAATTGATATATGCATACATGTTTTGCCTTCAAGGCTCGATTATTTTATATGGACACAGTTCATCTAACCGTTTGGCCCATTATAAAGTTCTCCTATCGAGGCCCTCTTTGGCGTGAAGTATTTTCCTCGAAAATATATCCTCCGAGGGTGATGCCCCCCGGTATTCGAGGTTGACTGAAAACAAGCCTTCGATACTGTTGAGTTCTCCTTAGGTAGCACATATTTGTTGCCTCGTTAAAACCTCGCTGGTAAAACCCATTTGGGACAAAATCCGATCTAAGGGAAAAAGAGTGCAACACGTGCTTTAAAACCTAAGGCCTTCGTGTAGAAAAGTGTCTTGATATCTTCCATCAGTCACCTGCAATGGATTAGTTTTAAATTCAAATGGACAAAAGGAGAAAGGCATACTTTAACAATAGTATTGTTTGAGTAGTGATACATTCCAATTGTTTGGCAGTTGTTTGCCTTCCATTATGCTAAGTTTGTAAGATCCTTTACCGACAACTCTAATGACTCGGTACGATCCTTCCTAATTCGGGGTTGGTTTCCCTTCATTCGGGTCTCGAGTATTGAGGGTGACTTTCCGTAGAACTAAGTCCCCGTAAACTTCCATCGATTTACCTATCTCTTCCTCGAACATTTTGTTAACGAGACATTGGTATGGCATTGCGTTGTAATAATAAGTGCAAACTTGGTGATAAACGAGGTCTTTTCCTGATCCTCCGGGTTCATCTGAATTTATTGTACCTGAGTAGGCATCGAGAAAAGTTAGGATCTCGTGGCCAGCCGTGGCATCGATCATGCAATCGATGTTAGGCAATGGAAAAGAGTCTTTAGGGAATGCCTTGTTTAAATCTTTATAATCTACTTACATTCTAAGTTTGTTTCCCTTTTTAGAAACTACGACCACATTGGCTAACCACTCGGGGTATTTTACTTCCCGAATAGACCCTATTTTAAGGAGTTTGGCTACCTTATCCTTTATGAATGCATGCTTCACTTTGGACCGAGGCCTTCTCTTTTGCTTCACCGATTTGAACCTGGGTCGATGCTTAGCCGGTGTGTTGTTATTTCTGGTGGGATACCTGTCATATCTAAATTGGACCACGCAAAACAATCCATATTATCGATAAGAAATTGAATGAATTTTTTCCTGAGTTCGGTGGTTAACCCCGTTCCCAGGTATACCTTTTTCTCGGGCATGTGCTCGATCAGTATGACCTGTTCCAGTTCCTCGACCGTTGATTTGGTTGCGTCCGACTCTTCGGGAATAATGAAGGTTCGAGGAGTAAGGATATCCTCTTCTTCTTCTTCGATTATTTGTTCCTCCGACTCGATTGGGGCTGGGATCAGTGATTGACATTTGGCCGCTTACTTATCTTTGGCCCTCGATTTTTCCAAGGTTGAAGGCATTGGTGTCGGAGTCACCTCCTCGACTACAAACATTTCTTTTGCAGCATGTTGTTTTCTATTGACCGTTTTCACACCATCTATTATTGGGAATTTCATCATCTGATGAAGGGTTGAAGGTACTGCTCTTATGTTGTGGATCCATGGCCTCCCAAAAAGTGCATTATACCTCATGTCACCTTCGATGACATAGAGTTTTATATCTTGGATGGTCCCGGCCACGTTCACTAGTAGGATTATCTCCCCCTTCGTTATTATGCTCACTATGTTAAAGCCATTTAGGACCCAGGATGCAGGTACAATCTGATCCTGTAGGCCGAGTTGTTCTACGACCCTCGATCTGATTATGTTTGCTGAGCTACCTGGATCCACTAGAACACGTTTAACTTGAATTTTATTTAAGAGAATAGAAGTTACCAGGCATCATTGTGTGGCTGAGATATGTCTTCTGCTTCCTCGTCATAGAATGATAGGACGTCCTCGAGCACATAGCTCCGAGTCTGTTCTCTGGTGATCGACACCTTGGTGCGTTTGAATACAGGTCCTTGTGGGACATTGACACCGCCAACGATCATGTGGATTACATGTTGTGGTTCTTCCTGCTCGTTTTTTCTTCTTATATCTCTCTTCCTGAAGTGGTTCTTAGCTTGATCATTGAGAAATTCTCGAAGGTGACCCTCGTTGAAAAACCGAGCTACCTTCTCCCTTAGCTGCCTGAATTCCTCGGTTCTATGGCCATGTGTGTCATGATACTTACACATCAAGTTTGGATTTCTTTGAGAAGGATTAGATTGTATAGGCTTAGGCCACCTGGTGTCTTTTATTCTTCCAATAGCTAACACAATCTCTGATGCATCTACGCTGAAATTATACTCTGACAATCGAGGTGCCTCTGCGGGGTCAGTATGCTTATCTAACCCATTCCTGCTCATGAGTCCCCGAGAGCTTTGACCTCGATCATTTCTCTGATCGTTCTGAGCGGCGTTACGACCCAAACCGTTGTTTCTTCGATCAACATATGGCTGATATTGTTCCTTGTTCGATCTTGATTCCATGTTTGTATCCCTCGAGGGCTTAGCTTCCAATCTATTAGGATGAATTGAGCCCGATGGGGCTCCCAACTAGTCATCCTCGACCCTGATCTTCGATTGATAACGGTTATGCACATCCGACCACGTCATAGTTGGATACTCGATCAGATTTTGCTTTAATTATCAAGACGCGATCAAACTCCGTTCATTCAAACCCTGGATAAAATCTTGTATTGCCCAATCATCCAAGACTGGTGGTAGTTCCATTCGCTCCATTTGAAACCTGGACACGAACTCCCTTAACATCTCGTCGTTCATCTGTTTTATCTTAAAAACTTCTGATTTCCTCATTGTCACCTTTATAGCCCCGACATGTGCTTTCATGAAGGCGTCTGTTAATATAGCAAACAAATCGATAGAGTTCGGGGGCAAGTTGTGGTACCAAATCATGGCTCCGTCCGACAATGTTTCCCCAAATAATTTCAACAATACTGATTCGATCTCGCCGTCATTTAAGTCATTCTCTTTGATCCTGCAAGTGTATGAAGTAATATGCTCGTTAGGATCGCTTGTTCCATTGTATTTTGGTATATCGTACATACGAAACTTTTCGGGGATGGGCATCAAAGCCGCACTCAGAGGGAACGACTTTTGTATGAACTTTTTGGCATCCAAACCTTTCAAGACTGGGGGTGCCCCCGATATTTGATCAACACAGGAGTTATAAGTCTCCACCTTTTTTTCATTGTCCTCAATCTTCTTTTCCCCAGACTCGATCCTCTTGGTGAGTTCTTCGAGCATCCTCATAATTGTAGGGTCAGTCTCCAAGCCGTTACAGTTTGATCTCTTTGGCACCGCTCAGTACGTCGAGTGTTTTCTAGCTCGACTATACTTGGAGTTTTGTTCTGACTTTGAAGTTGAGTGATGGCAATATGTTGAGCCTGTAGCATCTCGAATATTACTTGGAGTCTGATTCCCCCATCTCCTACAAACTTTGTTCTTTGGCCACCAAATCTGACTTCCCTGAGTACACTTGCTTCGGGGTCTGCACCTAGATCTGCATTCAAAGTAATGTGTGAACTAACATCCACTGGTTCCACATTTGGCACTTCCTCAGGGTTTATCGGTGGTATATCGACCCCTTAAGAAATTAAGTTATCATTTTCTCTGTGGAACCCAAGACTGTCATCACCGTGTACGGGTACATTCTGTGAGTTTGACATGTTTTATCCTGAAATCAAACAATCTTTGACAAGAATAAGTGTGAAAATAACATGTGTTATGAGAATCAATAATTAAATAATTATTATTATATTTAGCCCCACGGTGGACGCCAAACTGTTTACCTCAAAAATACGAGTAACAATTAAATTTGATTTGTGATTTTAAAGATGCGTGATTTAGTTCAATACTAATTAATAATCAAGAAATTTGAAGTATAGATGAACGAAATAAGTACGACCAAACCAATAGATAATCCAGCCTCGACCTCGAGCCCAAGTGACCTCGAGATTGGTCAAGAACAATAAAGCAAAAATAATAAAGCTAAAGGACAATTCTGATGAACAATGAGCGAGAAAAGCAAGAGAGTATATTTTTTGTCAATGATTAGATGATCTTTACAGATGATAGGGGTCCCTTTTATATAATAGGGGAACCCTAAATAAGGTACATTTCTATTTACAGTTAGGAATCTTATTGGGACAGCTGTATAACCACCTAGTACGGATTCGTACTAATTCGTACAAATCTATTCCGGGATTTACGCTATGATCTTGGGGACGTGGCGGAATCTTGTCCTTCTGTAACAAACTCATAACGGTATTGTCTCGGAGTTGGTCGTACTTGTCTCCGACGTTCCTCGAGCACTTAGGTCTTCGAGCCTCTTATTATACCTTCAAGCCCAAGCTTGGTCTATATCGAGATTTTGCCCTCGATGCTATTTCTCGAGCCTACAAAATTGGAGGCATATGATTTTGACCGTATACACAGTCTCTTTTTTTACGTATTTTATTTGTTTTTTCAAGTTAAATAATTTGACTAAGCTTTTAGAAGAAAGAATTTTTTTTGAATAGAGCATATATTCTTTTTAATTTTTCTCTTGCTAAAAATGCTTTTAACAAATATATATATATACACACACACACACACAAAACATGATTTGCTATTAAGCAACAATTGAGTCATCCCAATGGTGCTGAAGGTTGGAACTATATAGCCCAGACAGTTGTTAATAAGCCTTGGTTTAGGCAACTTCATCGGTGGTCCTCAATTAACCCGTTAAAGTGTGATTAGGCATGAAAGGGTTGTGAGAAGGAACGTGGTTTAAGGTTTACTATCAACTAGGCCAGGACTGGAGTTCTTGTAACTTATTTCCTAAAGTACATTAGAAGCGATCCTGCCAAAGTTTGAAGGCATTAGCCAACGCTCTCCCTTCTCTTTGTTGTAAAGAATCCCTCTGTAGTCTTTTGAATAAGAAATAAAAATCAAAAAGGTCACTTGGGCAAAAATCAAGCGGTCTCAGGTATTATATTGATTTAGCCAAAAATACTGCTCTTCTTTATGATATACACTAAAATAACCGTACTAATTTAACTTAATATTTAGCTATTCCAAATGTAATTCCCCTAATATTTACGAATTTGTTTATATTTTTAGTATAATTTTTTAACATATGATGAGTTTTGCGGTGACAATATCTATATTTATTGGCTTTAATATATTTAAATCATTTGAAAGAATAAGTACTTTCAATTTAATTTTCATATTTTACCTAATTTGAGATGAAAACTTGAATATAGTCTTTTATAACAAATATTTAAAATTATTTATCTACTTAAACAGTATTAACTATTGAGTAAATCTTTGAGAAAATACATAAAGACCCCATTCGATTTGTCCTGGAAAAATATTTAGATACCTAAACTTTACGGGTGTCCTAACACCTCACTATTGTTAAAATAATTGTATTTATTTACTCCCTACTAAACCCTGGCCAACCGCACGTCTTAGACAACCGAATTGAGCGCGTCCTTGCTCTCTTTTAATCGTTGAAAACACCCAAAAAAAATAACGTCAATATAACCCCTAACCAACGGTAAAATCCCTTCTTCCCCAATATTTTACCAAACCCAATTGAAGAACCTTAATTTCTTCTTCTTCTAAATTCTGCTGAAATTGCATCAAATTGCCCTTTGAAGTTTTAATCTTTGAAAACAAAGGTTAATCTTTCTCCTTTTTAAGAATCCTAATTTCTTTCTTTTATTATTGTTATGTCTTTCTCCTAAAATTCAATTATCTGATCTTTGAAAGCAAAGGCAAATTATCTGACTTTGTCATTGTCTGTTTGTGTTGTAGTTGTTGCAACGCCTTCAAAAGGCTTGAATTTGACAAGGCTTTGCACGAAAGAGGAAGAAAATGAGTCAAGTGGAGAAATTCGACGCAACCATGGCTATGTGTTGCCTTTGTTAACAGCTTGGACCGCTCGAAATCTAGGACGAAGATATTGGGTTTGTTCATACTATGGGATAAATGATAGTGAAAATTCTTTCAATAATTGAGTTGTGAAAAATTATCATTGATTCATTTTCTTTTGTTATTCATCTTAGGGTCCACGATCTTGTGATTTTTGGGTTTGGAAGGATTCCGAAATTGATCCTAGGTCCAAGTTTGTTATTCCAAAATTGCTTGACAAAATGGGTGAACTTGAGACTGCATTAGAAGGCTTTGAAAATCTTGCCAAGCCGAGGGCAACTTTAAAGGTTGAAACCCCACAGAATGGGAGAAGATGAAGAAGATTGAGGCTCAATTGGTGAAATTGCAAGTTGATATGGAGAACATTAAAGAGAAGAAAAAGAAGTGGAAGAGTAAATTGGCTAAGTCCAAGTCTAGAAAAAATGTACTTTGGTTCATTATATTGGGGATGTGTATTATACTTGTTGCTTGTAGGTATCCAGGAATATCATTGAAAGAAGATGCAATGAGGTTGACATTTTGAATCTAATTTTGTCATATCAATATGTATGTAGTTGTTGCTTGTAGGTTTTATTTTGTATGTTTGTCATGGACCTTTTATTTGAATGTAATGAACCTTTCAACGGAATGTAATCAAGTGTTGTTTCTAATGAAGTCATGTTTTTACATTGCGAAGTGTTGTAGGTGTGTTCTGTTTGTTTCTTTGTATGCCCAGAACTTGGCAATCAACAATAGACACACAAAAGACTTAATATGGCAGTAGCATAAACTGTATTAAAACACACATTTGGTCGCATTGACCTAAAAGAAACATACATAATAAACAGTCACAAAATGAGATAACAAAATATTTGTTTGTTGTCATTGTAGCAGCAGTAAAACAGACACCATAAGATAACAAAATGTGAAATGCAGTCTATAGCTACCTAAAAATCCTTATCATAATACAGAATTGCAGTCCATAGCTGCTTAAAATTTTAGCATAAAGCAGTCTATTGCAATACAGTCATCAACAAAAACAATAGCTTGATCAATTGGGTTATTTTGCAGTGGTGCTTTCCTTGCTCAACTTAGCAGCCCTAGACCTTGTTTGAATGAGTTTCTTGCCTCTCAATTGTTGAAGCTGCCTTGATGTCATAGCTTCTTTACCTTTCCATTTAACACCCCATGTTGGTTGATGGCCTAGATCTCCAGTTACTTCTGCTGAAGATCTCACATTTTTAAAGTTTGTAGAGGACATTCCAGGCTGCCAAAATCCAATAGAAAATTAGACAATGAATTCACCTAAATATGAGAGGTTGTGTTAGAACTTACATTTTAAATTTGAAGCCACTTTGAGTGTGTAAAACTCTCATCTCAACCATCCTTGGCCTGTTATATTATGTTCTTACATCAGTGCTAGTACCAACATCCTACATCAACCAATTAAAAGTAAGAATCTGATAATTATTTAAAAAAGAGAAAGAAGATATTAAAAGGAAGAACTTCACCTTTTCTTTAGAACCTTTTGGCCTACCCCTTCCTCTTCCAGTACTTTGCTTTGGTGGCTTTTGAACTACCAACACTTGCAGACGCAAAACTTGCTGAAGTAACAACAATATTACTTCTAGCAGCTTTATGACACCCTCTCTTGTTATGACCCTTGTTATGACAATTGCTACATGTCATTTCCACACCACTTTTGGACAATTTTCCTGTCTTATTTTCACCTGGCTCTTTTCTTCTAACCTTCTTTGGTCTGCCTGCATCTTCTTGACATGAGGTGGTATAACATTTGGGTTTTGTGACTCTGGCCACATATTCATACCCAAGACAGACTGAAGAAAGTAATTGTATGTTTTCATGTAAGTGGCATTATTGTACTAGTGAGAGATTTAGTTTAAATACTCTAGATTTTTATAATGCAGGGCAGCAACTACATGAGCACATGGTATGTCTTTTAACATCCAAGCTCTATAGGTGCATGTTTGCTTGTTGATGTTCACCAGATGTTTCACTTAACTTGCACCTGATCCTTGTTTCACTTCAAATCCAAACTCACCATTCCAGAAAATGTTGCATTTCATTGACCTTTCTATGTTCTCTTTCAATATTTTCATGGTCATTGGTGAAAAATCAGTAATCCAAGTGTTTCCAAACTGCCTGAGCTGACCTATTATGTTCATCGTCTCCGCCCTTATTTCTTCAACCATTGTCACTATAATCTTTTGCCTTGCTGCCAAAATCCAAGCATTGAAATATTCTGTCATATTATTATCAACACTATCACACTTGCAAACTGTGTTGAAATACACCTTGCTCCATCTTTCAATGTTATAGTACAACAGTTCATC